GAGCAAGTTACAGTAATTGGGTACCTGCTGCCAAGTCTGGCTTCATCTTCTGCTGGCACAGTCCACAGAGCTGATGGTAATGGTGGTAAGGCAAATGCCGATTATATGCTTTTCAGGTTGAAAGGTGTATTTTGTAAAGAAGAAAATGTAGTTGTTCTGCATCTGCTATAAATACATGTATTCTCACAGGAATCTTTGTGTCATAGCTGCTGATTCGCAGTATTTAGAACAAATAAGGCCCCAAACTTAAGGAAATTTACAGCAAACAAAAAAGCTTGAATTCCTCTCCATTTGCCTTGTGAGGATGAACCTGGGATCATGTATCCAGGATGACCAAGGGTGGTTTTGTTGCCACTGAAAAGGTCAGAGACTTCACTCTCATGGTGAAAATCCAACCGAATCTGAAATTTCCAGCCATCAGTATAACTGTGGAGCAGGGGCTCTAGGAACATTGGCTGGGCTGCAATGAGTTGTTAATGTCGATGTGAAGATGGCGTGTTGCAGAAGGATCTTGTATGTGCACCCTCTGTGTTGGCTGCAGCTGGGTGTCCTGCCCTGCCCTGCCCATCCAGTGGGTCACTAATGTCCACAGGAGGCTTTGGGAGCTTTGCAGGGACGTGCAGGTACAAGTGAGCCCTTAAAAGTGGAAGAAAGGAATTCTCCTCAGGTGGCTTGTCCACCTCTGACAATGTCTGTGGGAGAAGGCAGAAGACGGGTCATTTTTCTCACTGTGTCCTTGATGTCTCTGGCAGAATCACAAAACTGTATAAGAAAAGCCACCATGCTGAATATCCTGAAGAGGGTCAGAGGTCATTTAATCTAGGTTATCCTTGTTCTCTCTGCTGGTTACTCTGAGGAAGTCTGGATTTTGGCCTGGTGGTGTCTCAGCAATGTGTGCTCTTGCAAGGTGCCAATGGGGAAAAAATTGCAGCAGAAGAGCAAAGATTGTGTTTCCACAAACTGTTATACTCTTCTTAGCCTGGCAGGGCTGCTTGCCACATGCACAGTGGTCTGTACGTTGAAGGCTTGCTGCGTGGGCAGTGAGCGAGTGGATCACGAGCAGCAGACCTCTGCTCACCCAGAGGAGCACTGCCATGTCACAGCTCTTTGTCAGTGCCCATTGTTGTACTGTGCTTTAGGTGCTGAGGGAGGACAGAGCACATTATATGCTATTTGGATTTGATTATTGCCTTCCTTGAGATTATGTACTAGTGACTGGCATCCGTTACAAGAAGTACCTAGAAAGACGCTTCCAAAAGCCCCAATGAGTGGAAATATGGGTGGACCACATCAGAGCTGTTTTATGACAGCTGATTGCAATTATTTCTGTTCGTGCAGGTTTTGGCCATCAGTGAGTGGAGGAGACCTGCTGATTCTGACTACTGCTCCTGCTGCTACATTTTGATGGTAGTGAGCACTTCAGAACAAAGATGTAATTTCAAAAACACCAGTAAAACTTTTGTCCATCAGAAAATTTCAGTTTGATCAATCAATACTTTCCATGTAATGACATGAGAAAAATTGAAGTATTCTCCTTGAAACTTGATGGGGTTTTTTCCTGCCACTCAAATCTGGGCTAGCTGGCTGAATACTCCTCCATTTGGTGACTTCTGCCTGATTCGGCAGTCGGCACACATTTCTTCACAGCTTCCTCCCCTCATAGGAACATCTGCCACCAACTTTCCGCTCCACTTTGGAGCAGACAAGAACTGAGTGATGTAAGATCAGATTCATATTGTCCTTGTTTGCAGCAAGGGTGGAATATAAACCTGCTGTGCCGCTGCGCTGGCTGAAAGGGAGACTGTGGAAAAGGAGACTGGTGGGGAAGCAGTATTCTCACTGCTGTGGCACCTACAGACAGTGAAGGCTGGCAGTTCTCCTTGTGTCCTCTGTTCTTCCATGCAGGAAACAGTGCATTCCTGATGCTGCTGTCTGCTGTACCACCCTGTGGTTGCATGCTCTGAGGTTTGCCAAAGGCCCTGGTCTTCAAGTCTGTGCTGTTCTGAAGAGCCAGAATCACCCACCCAGGATTCCTCTGAGACACCAAGCAATGGCCATGTGGATGGGTCAGTTAGCCATGCAAATACCTGGCAAATCTTGACTTCCTCTGACAGAGTTTAAGCATCTTTGTGTATTAGAATCCTAGACCACTCAAGCTGCTTAGTGACGTGCTCGAGGGCTTGGCTCAAAAATAGTTGCAAAAGGGCAGATGGGAGAAGGACTCGGGTCAGAGCTTTCACAGGACATCTTTGAAGCAAGGAGGAGGTGCCAGCTGCACATGCACGATGAGTCTGTGCAAAAGGCTGGGTAATCCTGTCCCACTCAGCACACATGCAGGTGCCTGTTTGCCCTGGGGACACCATGAGAAAGAAGGCTGCAACATTGTATTTTGCACTATTATAGGGAAATATCTGCCAAAACTGCCTCTTCTAAGACACCTATTGTTTGGGTCAAACATTCTGGTTTACCGAAAAGACAATGTGGGGGTTTTTTTCTCTTTTAGTATTCCATCTTTAAGCATTTATGTTCATTCTTCAAGCTTTTCCTCCTTGTCCCACAGGTTAAAAGACCTTCTCCAGAAATTCTGGCATAGAAAGAAAAGGCTGTCCTTTCTGCAAAGAAGTGAAAGATACGAGGCAAGGGTAGAGAGTGGAGCTGCACATGGAGGTAATGAGAAGGCACCACAGAACAATTGATCTGAGTGCATCAGTAGCTGAAGCAAGTGACTTCTAGGCATCCAGAGAGCCTCTTGGGAGGAAGGACTAGGTACAAGCAGGATTTACCCTGGGGCTCCAGAGGGGGCTGTTAGAGCATTTCAAGGGATGTAGGAAAGCCAAAGCACTTTATGCTACTGAGAAGAGAGATTAAGTCAAAGTCAGAAGATGGTTGCAGCCACACTGTTGTATGAGTGTTACAGTGTCTATGGGGCTGACTGTCAGAAACAGTGAAATACTGAGGCTGAAAGGGAACATGCTAAGCATAGACAATGACTGCTCAGGCCTTGGTTTGACATGTCCTATGTGTGTCTCTCAGGCTGCAGAACTGCTATGCTTCTACTTGTTCTCTGGTTACTTCCCAGTCGCCCTCTGGAAAGGGAGCAGATTTCCCATCATACAAGCTCTAGTTTCCTTTAGAAAACACCACTTGAATGCAAGGGTACTCATTTTTGGTCCAGAGATGCTGCTTAGAGGCAGATATAGGAGCAGTGTGGCTGAAGGATCAATTTTTAATTGTGTTGCATAAGAAAGAGCAGCCAAGGGAACACTCACTAAAAGAACTCCTGAAAGGTTGAATTTTATGGCCCTCTTTTCTGTCCATTGCAGAGACAGGTAGTGAAATGGGCCATAGAGATCAACAAATGTTGGTCCTGCCCTCTCATCCTTGTTAGAAAAGATGAGTTAGGGGTAGTGTTGGGACTTGGGAGGGTGCTGAGGGGAAGACGTCTGGTGTCTGTTGAGAGAAAATGTTTTGTGCCTCATTTCTGTCAGCTTCCAACCATCTCCTTTATATCTCGTTATTCTGAAGTTAACTTACTAATATTTCTGCTACAGCAGAGCTCCTGCTGTGGACCAGCAGCCCACTGTCCTGTGCACTGTTGCAGCATAACAGACAATGTCCCCAGTGCATAGAACTTACTGCTGAGCAGAAGACACAAGAGAAGAGCTCAGGACGTACAAATCTTGCAAGCTGACCAGAAGACACAGTGTGAAAGGTGGCTATAATAATTCTGTTTCCTTGCAGAAATAAAACTGAAATATGAAGAGTTTATATTTTTCATGACTTCTTGTAGATGCAGACATATTTTCTGTTTCATTTTGTGTTTGGTTCACTTGCAGCCCACAGTTCTTTCCAGTGTTTGAATGGGTAATGAAAATAGTATGTGGCTACAGTCTTTTTGTATCTTGGGAGGCACAATGTTAAAGTGGCAAATTATCTGGTTTGGAATCATGGTCTGGAAGCTGACTTAGCCTTTGTATCTTCAAAAGAAGGAACGTTTTTATGTGTAGTTAAAGTCACAATGAATAAACCAGATCTGAGCCAAACCCTTCTAATGCCACAGTTCTTCAGTTCAGTAGGACTAAAAACATCATATCAACAGCAGAGGGTACATGCACAAGGAGCAGGTTGGGTTAACTACCATTTTCATGTTGTTGAACTAGAGCTTTTAAATGAAAGACCCAGGATGATCCAATTACTTTACTGATTTCTGGGACCACATATTTTCACAGAGCTCTAGGACTAGTAGACATCAGTACACTGGGACAGTTTTATCAGAGACAAATTTGAGCTTATGACCTTGGTTTAGAGACTGCTTTTGCTAGTGCAAACAGCAGTGTGCAGCAGCTTGCACTGGCCACTCAGTTTCTTGCTTCATTACTGCTCTTTCTAGAATTTCTGTGGCTGTATTAATCCAAGATGAAAACTGTCACAGGGAGGGAATACACCAGCTCATCCAGGAGTTGGCTGTAAACCTCACTGTCATGCCCTGAAGTGTTTGGCCCACTGAGGATGAAGGCTGTGTACTTGTCCCTGAAATGATGGTCAATGGAAGAAGCATGTCTAGTTTGGATCAATGTACAGGTGGGTGTTACCAAACTCACAGTTCAGAGATTCCAGACTAAAATATAGAAGAGCTTTCTTATCACTAGCTATGACAGCTTTCACTTGTTGCAAAAAGAGATCATTGGATCCAGAAACCATGAAAAAGCAATACAAGGTTACTGGGTCATTCTCTGCCGTGAGAAGCTAAGGCGCTATGACTGCCAACATGGACTAACCAAAGCACCAGGCAGGGGAGACTGGATGGGCAGGAGGAATCATAGTAAGTGTTACAGATGTTAACATCCTCTGTGAAAGCATGTGGTCTTCCCAAGGTGCCAATGGATCTCTTTATTACAAAAGAATTTTGAATTGCTGTTGGTAACTCCAAACAGTGGCTAGAAGATTCCCTCAATCTTTTATCATTCTGTTTTCCTGTGATTTCTGTCACTTTCAGATAAATGGAAGATTTGGAGACTAACTTAATCCGGACACGCAAAGCATGTAGAATAGAGCAAATGGTAGCAAAATGGCTTCATCGCTCTCGGGATGGTGCATCCAGGTAAAAATGTTTTGTGTGAAAGGAATATCTGTTTATCACATTTGATCAGAGACAGCACAAGCTTGTTCCCAACAAACAGGGCAGTCATAGGTTGCGGATCTTACTTACTGTTTCAGTTGTTCTTGGGAAATACACATACAATACTCCCTAGAAAAAGCAGTGTTTTTAAGCATCCCCTTGGTTTACAGGGACAGATGTTCCTGCTTTCACCCATTCTGGTTTTGTGAAATACAATACTGCTCAATGTGAAATGTGCTTTTTTTGAAGATGGGGTTGTACTTCTCTTTGTGACTTGCCATTGGCCCATGTTTTTAGGGCAAGACTGGTTTGCCTTTACAAGGTATGCTGGCCCACAGCTGCTTTACTTTTCTAAGGTGTGTGAGTCAAAATTAAGATGGACTGGATCCTGGCAGAAGCAAAGTGCCATACATTCTGTCACTGCTTTGCTGGATAAAAGCATTGCTATGATCTGTGGAGGTCAGGGCTTGCTGCAGGGCACACCTGGAGTTCTCCCTCCGTGTGACAACTGGGCTGGGGTGGCTGAAAGAGTTGTGGTGACAGCCAAGTGGTGCCACTGCTCTGATGTCTTTGGCTTTCTGTGGAGCCTGGGGGATCAGTGCTGGTCTTCAGAGTTGTCCTGGTTTCAGCCAGGATAGAGCTGGTTTTCTTCATAGAAGCCAGTGTGAGGCTGTGTTTTGGATTTGGGACGATAAAATGTTGATAACGTGCTGATGTTTTGGGTTGTTGGTAATTAGTCAGCCCAGCTTCTCGTGCTGGCTGGCCAGCAAGAAGGCTGGGGGTGCACGGGGAGCTGGGAGGGGGCACAGCCAGGACAGCTGACCCAGGCTGGCCAAAGGGATATTCCTTACCGTACAATGTCATGCCCAGTACATAAACCGGAGTTGGCCGGGGCGTGGGAATCACTGCTCAGGGATGGGCTATCGATCACCAGGTGGTGAGCAATTGCTGTATTGGGCATCACTTGTTCTTGTGCATTCCTTCGTTGGTATTATTATTGTTGTTATCATTGTTGTTTCCTTCTCTCTTGCTGTCCTATTAAACTGTTTTTATCTCAACCCACGAGTTTTTTCCCAATTCTCTCCCCTGTCCCACTGAGGGAGGAGGGAGTGAGCGAGCGGCTGTGTGGGGCTTAGTTGCCGGCTGAGGCTAAACCATGACAACATTACAGGGCCACCCGTGGGTACCCAGAGAAGTGCTGGCCACTCTGTACTGGTGCAGCCCACTGAAAGTGGGGGTGTGTGTATGTGTGTGGATCTATGCCCCTTCAATAAAGTATCTTCTGACTATATTTTAATTAATCACTGGGTTCTTGTCTCACAGGGGCAGAGTGTCTGTGACAGACAGCACCAGCGATGGCAGTGGCCAGCCTGCCAGCCGTGTCAAATTTACTGTCACAGTATACAAAGATTTGGTCCTCCATCACTACGGCTTTGAGATTTGTCCAAACCTTCCTCTTACGATTGCATCTGTCACCGCAGGTAAGCACCATTTCTGTCTCCCTGCAATCACAGGTGTGAGATGTCCCAGATGGCCTTAGTGATAAACTCCTGCCCAGGTATTTATGAGTTTTTCAGGTACAGGTTGGCATGTGATCCTTGCATATTGAGGGTAAAAGCCTGGGTGTCTGTGGAGTGCAGAGTGCTTGAACATTTACCTGATTCTGATGGCATGGAAGAAATCTAAGATGATGGCAGCTTCACTGCTAATCCTTCACCTGCACTTGGACAACTCAGGGATGCAAGGAGCTGCATCAAAGCAAAGTTCTTTCTGGTGTTTTATCTGAAATGAAAAGGAAGAATCTCATCTAATCTTAGAGTTCTGTTTCTGCAGTGGCACCGGTGATCTGTTGTTGAAAATGCTTTCTGGGCTTGCAGCCCTGTAACGTGGAGGGCATCACTGCAAGTGATCATAGAATCATAGAATAGAATAGAATCATAGTCTAGAATCATAGAATCATTAAGGTTGGAAAAGACCTCCAAGATCATCAAAGTCCAACCATCAACCCAACACCACCATGGCCACTAAACCACGTCCTGAAGTGCCACATCTACACATTTTTGAACACCTCCAGTGATGGTGACTCCACCACCTCCCTGGGCAGCCTGTTCCAATGCCTGACC